GGTAGTGGCATACATCCTTTTCAGAGAAATGCAATCTGCCTACAGCCTTATGGTCTTCAGTGGTCATGTCAGGCTACCCCACCCTAAGAGATATATCCATGTGCAGCCAACAGCTGCAAAAATTTTGATTGTCCTTGTGTTTAGCAAGTTCTCCGCACTGCTAGTGTGCCTTCCAAAAGGGAGGTTCCCACAACTGGAGTCCTAGAGTCTCCTGAACTTGAGCTACTTGCAGTTTTTCAGTGTCCTGACTAGCACCTTTAAGTTCTGTATATTGTGATTATCCTCCCCAGTATTTAAAAAAAAATCAATTTCCTGTTTCAGTATTAGATGAACTCCCTTTTCAACTCTTGAGTTTGAAGCTGTGGAAGCAACCACCTTTTTCTCTTTGCTGGGTTCAGATACCAGATCTTAAGAACACAGGGACTTGCAGCTGCCTGCACACCCTTTCCTACTGTGTAACTGCTATTGAACCGCTGCCATATTTCAGTTGAAGAACACGTCCATCCTAACTTGACTCTTGACTGCTCTTAGAGAACTCTTCTTTTTGCTGAAAGACAAAGAAAGGATAACCCTTTATAATTAAATATATTATTTAGAATTATTTGAAGATTATTATTATTATTAGAATTATTATTATTATTAGAATTATTTCCAGTCACTTTACACTCTTTCAGCTATGCACAAATACTAGCCTCTTCCAGATATTGGTTTAATAGCTGCCTCCCGACAATTTCATTTAGAGCACTTTAAAAAGGCATGGAAGCCTTCCACTCTGTCCAGTTTTTCCCAACTCACTATGTATTCTTAGCATTAAGATTCTTGGAAACAGTAACATGATATACAAGTACTTACCTGTTCTTCCCAGCTGAACTCACCTTTCCCCTTGCAGCTCCAGAAACTTTTTGGCAAACAGCTCCATAGGAAACAATTAAAATAAACCAACCTTCATCACAACTTCTTCATCCACTATCATCTGAGAAGTAACTTTAATGTGAAAGAGTTTACACCCTTCCCCCATAGGCTTTGGAACAAGCAGTTGATCAGTGACACTTCCACTCTTTCCTCCATAGGGACTGCAGACAACCAAGTCTTACAGCTGTGGTAATTAAGAAAAGAGGATCTTAAAACAAAATTTACGTGCCAAGACTAGCATAGATAGTATCACTTAGAAACCATATTCCACTTTCTGCTTGAGTGCACACCCAAGTCTTTTCATCCTGTTAATTTGCATAACAGGAATGACATTATGCCTGACCATCACTTCCAAGAACTGAGACATCCCCAAAAGTTCTCTGTGCTGCACTGACATGGATGTTGACAGTGACAGCAGACCTAGACTACCACGACACACCTGATAAATTATGATATGATGTATCTGTACACTTCATCTTGAAATATGTGTTTTGCATGCAGCCTGGCTTTGTATACTACCCACTGAACTCAATTTAAGCATCCAAATATTTGGTTTCTTTAAGAGCAAACTTGCCAGAACGAATGCTGAGACATGAAGACAGGTTTCTACATATGAACTTGGCTTAAACTTACACTGAGCGTTTTCTTCTTTGAGCAAAGTTATCACATGTTCCTAATTATCTTCCTTCCTTCAGGATCTTCCAACTGATTCTCCAGGTCAGGAAACAGGGTGGTTACTTACCAGAGTCCACAGTGACAAAAATCAGTAACAAAGACAACCTATAGGTTTTGCACTGCAGGATGTCAGCATAGTAAAGTACACACAAACCTCTCAGCTTCATAGGCTGAGGACCACACAGACACTGGAGTAAGTTTTCATTAATGGCATTGAAACAGAGCATATCAATGTTTAAGAAATGCCAAAACCAGGTTTTCAGTTCTATAATCACCTTCTATCTTTTCATATGAGATGCAGCCACACCACTTATTTCTACAATAGGACTGTAAGCTTCTTACATTGCAATTAAGGCCTGTTGGGTCAGGGTAGATTTGGACTTTAGCACGTTCAGGTGAACAAATTATCCAAGTCTGAGACACGCTAACACAAGTTTCATCATTAACATCTCTGACAAGCTGTGACCTGCAAGTCAGATCCAAACACTGGCAGGTATCAAATCCCCCAAAACTGACCAAAGCGAACAACACACGCAGAGAAAACTTGTTTTACTTCTCTCTTGCATCCGGTGTTCATTTGGGTAGTTTTCCAAAGTCATTTCCTTCTTCCTACCTTAGCTGAGACATGAGTGGCACCTACATCTACAGATAAAGAAGATATAACAAAATACAATTATATGTGAAGTGGGGTGCACAGCATCCTCCTCAGAGCAGCAGCACTGACTGCAGGTGGATGGGGAGGGAGTGAAGGGAACCACTGCAGGTAAAACCAATTGTTTCTAAACCAGTTTAACAAAACATACTGTCATTCAGCCAGCAGACCATCATGGATGAAAATTTCACATGCACTTTCTCTGATTGTTACATAAGATAACCAAGCTTGACCCAACCATTCCATTGCAATACTTACCAACCCTACCAGGTATCAGCTGCAGTGATAAATGCATAGGCCTAAAGTCTACAGCACACAACAACTGTGACAGAAGTCATTGTGCCAGTGCCTTTTATTTCACCCACAGTTCACCTAATCTAAAGGTATCTGCATAGAGAAGAAACAGATTAGGAAAGAAATAAAAGGGGCTGCACGTGTAATTCAGAATTCTCCAGATATATGGAACTATTGATGCTATGAATTTTATTAACAGAACATTATACCCCCATCACTCATTTTCTTCACCGAGGAATATGATAAACCAGGCGAATCTGGCTGTGAAGAGAAGAGTCCTTGGAACACTGGACTTTTTGCAGGATGGCATGCAACTGGTTCAGCTTCTCTAACTAGAGGAAGCTGCATTAAAAGTGACAAAAAAATAGCATACATTGCTGTAGTACTAGCAAATCTTTAAAGGCTGCAATGTTCAGGTGAAGTATCTGTACCACAGAACATCTCACAACATCCTTCCTCCAGCACTCATGTACCCTGTGGCAAACACACCACCTGTGTAGTCACTGTGCAGCAATACCCTGATCAAATGCCTTGTACTTACCTGCAGGAGGAGCCAAAGTATGAAATAAACCCTTGCAACTCCATTTTACCTGAGCTGTACCACTACTGGATTTTAGCCAAGACTTCAAGCAAGCTTGCAAAACTCTTCACAGCTCTTTCCAATAAAGTATCTTCTTGGCATAATAAAGCACTTTATTTCACAGGAATCAGCTGTAACTAGAAATGGTATTATTTCACAAGCCATGCAACATTTTGACTATCCTTCCTTCTAGTTTCAGCCACAGGCATTCCATGCATGGTTTCAGGGAACTCCAGTCCCCTTAAGCCTCACAGAGCTTTGATTACTCTCTCATTTGGTGAACAAGCATTTCCTATTCCCCAGCACAAAAGACCAGCACAAGCAGGGGTAATGTTCACTACAAGAAAGCCTAAAACCACTGCTTAAAATGCCAGCCTACCTCCTGTATGCCAGCCAGAAGGCTGAAACTAAGACAGCACCTAGTCAGGTGGCTAAGCCATGCCAACATGAGACAGCAGGCACAGGCAAAATAGTGAGGAAGCAAGTCAGTTTGGCCACTCCTGTGTCTTACACCATCTCATCTACTCTCTCTCAGCTTTTTCAAACTTGACTTACATGTCTATGGACATAGAATTATACATTTGGGTTGCAAGTAACTTCAAAGACCATCTTGTTCCAACCTTCCCCTGCCATGGGCAGGGACACCTTCCAGTAAGACCAGGCTGCCCAGTGCCCCATTCAGCCTGGCCCTGAACACTTCCAGGGACAGGGTATCAACAGCTTCTCTGAGCAATCTGTGATGGTGCCTCACAACCCTCACAGTAAATTTCTGCCTCGTATCTAATCTGAATCTACCCTACTCCAGACATACTAAGGACTTTAAAAGGAAGCAAAGCTCCTCCTGCTGGTGACACCAAGCCGTATGTCTGTGACAACCAGACACCATTAGTGCAATTATCAGGCATCAAACAGAGCCAGAGCCCTTAAAGAACCCGTCAAACCAGCGAAGCGTAAACTGTCACCTGGCACGTGACAAGGGCATGTCCCAATCTGCTCCCTGCTGACAGCCGCCCCACCAAGGCCAGCCCTGCTCTTTAACCCACAGTCCGTACTTCATCCAAGGGCCAAGCACCGTGGCTGGTACAGCCCCGCACGGGCCCCTCTGTCCGGAAGGCGCGGGGGACACAGCCCCAAGAGCCACCGGACCCGCCCCGGCTCCTGCGCCACACAGAGCGGCCTCCCCGTTCGCGACCAGCACCGCCCAGCGCCCACACGCCCCGGCCGCCGCATCACCGCCACCCCGCCTGCTCCTGTCACACACCCACCGCAGCCGTGGTGTCAAGTCCCGGGACAGATTCCCACCCCCACGGTCCCACTCCCACCACAGAGAGGCGCTGCCCCACCCAGAGCCGGCAGTCACCGAGTGACGATCGGCCGTGTCCTTCAGGGCCCCCTTCCCCTACCCGCCGCGCCCCTCCGGCTATTCCTCAGTCTCCCCCTTCTTTCTCAACCGCTCGCACAAGCTCTTTCTTGCCCCTGAAACCAAGACAGGACTCCCACCCTTCCCCCTTTTCCGACATCTTAACCCGGCTCCCCGACCGCTCCTCCAGAGCTAAGCGTCCCACGCCATCAACATGGCGGCGAACACCGCCTCCTTCCCCACCCCGCTCCCCACCGCGGCCGCGCGGCGCGGGATCTGCCGGGAAATGGAGTCCACGCCCCGCATGCTGCCGTGCCGTGGCTGCGGTAAAGAAACTACAAACCCCAGAAGCCCCCGCTGCCGAGGGGCACCAGCCAATGGCGAGGGGGCAGCGCGGGCAGTGGCCCCGCCCCGGCGGGCGAGAGGGGTGATGTCATTGCCCAGCGGGGGCCGCGGGGGCGCGCCGCGCGCCGCCGCTCATTGTGCTCGGCCGGTGCCGCCTCCGCTGCCGGACACGGCGGGGGGGCCGCGCTCCCGCTCCTGTGCTGCCTGGGGCGGGCGGCCCTGCACGCATCCCCGCAGACGGCTGCCTTGCGTCGAGCCCTGCAGCTCCTGTCCCGGGCGTCCTGGCCCCAGGGTGGCTCGATACCGTTCCGGAGAGCTGTGGGGACTGAACATCCATCCCCGAGCGGGACCGCCTTGCGCCCAACCCCGCTGCACCCATCCCGGGGAGCTGCCTTGCGCCGGGAGGGTGGCTAGCACCCATCCCGGTGGAAGTGGGCTGCCGCGCGCTCGTCTCCGGGGTCAGCTCCTACCCCGGCGTGCGGGGGCTGGAGCGCCCAGCCCCGCTATCCCCAGCGTGCGGCGGCCCGGGGCCGCCGCTTCTTCCAACGCCGCTGACCGGCTCCTGGCTCCCGCCTCGTTTTATGGTCGTGGAGAGGGAGGAAAAATCCCAAACCAGGTGAGTTCTGCGCTCCTCTTCTCTTTATATGTGCTTTTCCTTGTCCTGTTACCTCCTCCCTCACAGGCGCCCATCTCCTGATGCCCTTCCCCGCGCTGTGTGTTCCTCAGCGGGGAGCAGCGCTGCCGAGAGGGACTGCGCTGTCGTTCCCTGGTCCAGCTGAAGAAGGAGGGGCGGAGGAACGGGGAACGGCGGAAAAAAGCCCTAACCCGCTAAATGGTTTCCTACCGCGGAGATGAGTCCCCCTGACCGGCCTTCGGGCCCGGCGGCAGCTCCGCGGCCGCGCTGCGCGTCCCGCAGCCTCGGGAAACTCCCGCAACTCCGGGATGCTCCGGGCGCCCCGGAGCTGCGCAGTCCCGAGCCGGCGGAGAGCCCTGCCTCGGTTGTCTCCCTGGCTGGACAAGAGTGTAAAATAAGATGGGTTTTGAATTGCTGTCGTTAAGCGCTGCAGAGCCTGCGAGAGCCGGGCTCCTGAGGACAAAATAAATACGAGATGTGTTTTAGGGTGGTTTTGGGGGCGTTGGTGTGCTGTCCTGCGGCTTCGTTGTTTTGACACCGCTATTCCTCCCCTCTTTCAGGGAAACAGGGCAGATTTGAATCCAACCGACTCTCAGTCCTGGCTGTGTGCAGTTGGTCCAGGTTTCTTTTCCAAGTCATAGAATGAGTTAGTATCTTAAAAATTCTCGGCTGGACAGTCTGATGTTTCATGTCAACTTCCAAACTACAGCTCTGATCTTTTTCACTTTTATCCTAAATACAAGAAGTGCCTCTATTTTAAACTTCGTAAAAACTTTGTGGTCCAGCAGAACTTCATTTTAGTGGCTTTTTGTTCCTTGCTGTTTGTGAGGTGCAATTTGGATCTTTACTTGAACAGTGCTAAGATATTAGTGCAACATAACAGGTATTTTTTCTTTATTCTATGACATCAGAAGGTTTTATCCCTTTCTATAAAAAGTTATTTCCACAATTGCTAGTGGACCCCAGACATCTCATTTTATGCTGGTGGCAATGAAATGTGTGAACACAGAGGGGTCTTGCTCGATTCGAGTCTGTCACTATACTTCAGTGCCCTTTAAAGTTAATCCTCACCAAAGCCCGACTTGGAGGCTGTTCTGAGAGCAGCAGGAGAGTGTGCAGCTGAGCTGATATTTTAAATTTTTTTCCATCCCCTCTGCTGCATATTTGCTTCTGTGCTTCTCTTGTGTAACTGGCACTGTGTGTCCTCTGGCAGGGCTCTCCCTGGAATTGCAGTGCTGGGGAGAGGGTGTCATGAGTGCAGTGGGGACAATGAAACTCCCTGTTTGGATTGCTCAAAGTGTTTGTAAACACCCAGGCGGTGTTGGGGCGTCCCCATACAAAGGATGGGATTTTACAGCTTCCCCTCTTCAAGTGGGATAAATATGCTGCATCCACACCTCCTTGCATTTATTTTCTGTGTCTTTTCCTTCCTTCCTCTTTACTACTGACTCAAAGGGGAAGAACAACAGTGCTCGCAGGCGTTGCCTTTGGTTGGTCTTTTTTTAACATTTTTGTTTCCTGGAATGGCGTTTTCCTCTTTATTTTACAAAGGAGGGAACAGATAATCTAATAATGTGTTTCCCATCTTGGTTGTAAAAGGAGAAGTTTTATAGCAGTGATTTTGTTAGCTTGGGATAGAAGGCGCTGGATATGAAGTAATGATTTGAAAGTGTAGCTGGGAATTGTTCTGGGAAATACTGATACAGAAATAGGTGAGGACAAGCAAAGAATCCATGGCCAGGGATTCTGCATTTTAATAATACAATTTTTGTGATGCCCATCTTTTTATATTTTGTTTTCATCATTCTGTATGTATGTATCTTGAAAAAAACAAGCATAAATAGCAATATGTATTTGTATGTTTTTCAAAATTTATTACATTTGTTGGATTTTGAAATACTTGTGACAATGCATGCTGGCATATTCAAGCTATGTTATACTATATCAGGAGGTAAATTGAAAATGTACCTCAGAAATATACACTATTGTATTAATCAGATTAAATTTTGCCTTTTAGAAACTGAAATACAGACACATAAAAAGGAACAAAAAGCTGAAAATAACTCAATGATTGCTGTGAAAAAACCCAGATGAGCTAGGGGACCCTTCCTCTTGTCCCACAAAGACCTGAATGCACTGTATGTGTTTACTCTGAATTAAGAATTCTCCAAAATGCCAGTTACTGGAAGCAAAGAAAATATCCCAGGAAGGCAGGACTAAATGTTTCCTCAGGTCTTTTACTTTCTTCCCCTGTTTCTTACTAGTGTCCAGTTTCTGAAGGGAAATTCAGGATCGGGTGGTCTGATGGTCATACTCTGCAGAGTTTTCTTGTATTTTAGTCCTGTTCCTCCTGAAATTGAGTATGATGCTAATTATTGGCTTCTTAGTGAAGCCAGAAATCACATCCTTGCAAATTGGTTTTATGAGCATTACCTGTGTGCCCTGAACTGTGTTAAATTGCCTGTTGCTGCCTTGGGATGCTTGGGTGTCACATACCCTCCTGTGCAGGGGATCCCAAAGACTGGTGAGATGTGGGGAACCGGGAAGAGCCAGAGCTGGGCTAGCCTTGCTGACTTTTCAGCTTAACTTTCCTCTTTGCTTCAGAGATGAGCTGTGAGAGGACAGGGATTTCTGTAGGGTTGGGAATCTGGTGAGACAGCTGGCGTTTCTGAAGCAGGAGGTGGATGGCTGAATGTGACTCTTCAGGAAGGAACTATGGAGTTGCTTCTCAAACAAGCGAGGGGAGAAAGGTGTCTGCAAGCAAACAACCCCCATTTGTCACCCTGCTGTGAAAAAGCTCTTCTCTGTTGGTCCATCATGGTGGTGTGTGCTCCCCATCTTCCCAGACCCAGCTGCAGGTGGTAGGTGTTGCTCACAGCCTGAGCTGGAGTGTGGGGCATCTCTAAAGCTGTAGAGAGCTCCTGTTTTCAGCTCTGGATCTGCCTTGGTTTGGGGCCTGGCTGGCATCCATCAGCTGGACAATTGAGACACTTGCTCTAAGTTTTGTGGTGTGTCCCAGAGAAGTACATTTGCCCTGGGTTTTTTGTGGGTGGCATAGGTTTGTTGGCATTTTCTTATTCTTACATACCATGTAGCAAAACAAGAAATTATAAGAGCTGGGACCTAGATTGATTATCTCTCTCATTTTAAGGCTTATCACCTTTTTTTAGGGACAGGACCAGCAGTTTGAGTGCAAGCCTTGCTCTCTCTGAGTAGAGATGGAGGAGTGGGGAATGTGCTAGGTGCTAGTTTGTGCATGTTGTCAAATAACCACCCAGGCAGTGAGAAAATTATATTCATTTTAACTGTGTGGCTGGCATGGCAGGAGTGCAGGAAGTAGCACAATATAGGCATACCTTGCAGTGGTGAAACTCTTTAGATACTGATGCCTGTACAGATGTTTGGAAAATTTTGGAACAGCAGATTTAGGAGACAGGAAAATAGTTTTCTGTATTATAGATGGGTTTCTGACATCAAAAACATTGGGGCAGTTGGGGAGGTCTTGGGGCAGAGATGCTCAGCAACATCTCTTCTTTGGCTGGAGGACAGACGAGATGACCTGAGGCAGTGTTTTGATTGACTTTCTAGTTTCCACAATTTCATTTTGCAGCAAGTCATTTAGCTTCCCACTTCCTCCTAGTGCTTTTGTCAATAACTAACTAAATTTTCATCTTATTTTTAATGGCTCTCTTACAGTGGGAAAGAAGCGATCTGTCATATTTGTCATATAATCCTGGTTGCCCTGTGCATAAATAATGAATTTAAACTGGGGGGAGGGAAGGGATTGAGTCAAATATTCTTCAGGTGTTAATATGTGGAAATAATTAGGGCTGAACAAGGATAAAACTTGTCCCTTAAAATCATTGTTGGCTTTTAAACAGTTGAGACCACATTGAGGTCTGTTGCAGTAGTTTCATAACTAATCTGTGCTATTAAACATTGGCCCTGCATAAGGTATTAGTGAGATTTATGTTGTAATGTCATTTGATTTCACCTTGCATAGATAAAAATAATTAGAGAGCTTTGTTGCTTTGAGCTGAGGAGAGATATTTAGGTTGTGAACAGCTTGAGATTCACTTGCTGTTTGTCATCTCGCCTCTCCTGGAGTTACTGCTCTCACTACACTGCAGAGGTGCGCTCTTCCCTAATACACTAAAGGGAAAATTTAAACCTATTTAAAACCTATTTAGCCTAGCTATTAGTTTCCTGAGATAATTAGGGAATACTTGTACAAACAGAGGAGAAAACCTTCAGTAAAGTCTCACAGAAACCTGCTGCTGTCCTTTTAAACATCACAGGATACCCTGTTAATTTTCTTTATTTTTAGCAGAAATACTGTTTTTCGAGTACTGCTGAACTAAAAGTTAACTGTAACCTTTAAGTATCTGAGTAGTGTTTTCTTTTAGACCTTGGAAAGAGTAATGAGAAAAGGAAGGGGAGAGGAGGAAGGGAGGAAAGGCTGTGCTGGCATGAAAAAAAGATGAGCTTGTGCATGGTTTCTTAAAAGACTGTATCCTGCTGGCTGAATTTAAAGAGGGAGGAAAAAAAAGAGGTGTTAGAGATGCCAAAATACAGAAGTCAAGCAGTGCTTGAGTTACTGTGTCCTGCTAAAGATGCCCTCCATAAAGAGGGAGACTTCATGCAGAGCCCCAGCAGCCCAACCCACTGCTGCACTGTGCTGCTTCTCCTCTGCAGTGAAGGTTCCAAAAACTAAACTCTGCTTTTTTTGATTAAGCAAAAACTCAGTTACTCAAAGGGCAGCATGTGTGCATTTAAAGTAGGAGTATTTCTTGATATAAATCCAGGCTGTTGTTTGTAAAAGAGACTTGTCATGGAACTACCATCCCGTAGGCTGATGCTGAGCCTTGATGCCAATTTTTTTGGAACAGTGCAGAAAATGAATCTGACTGCGTATGAGAGTCTCGCATCCCCCACATTAACAATCATTTGCATGTGCTTTCCTGAGTGTTTTGGACCAAAAT